CTTCATCTGCGTCTTCCAAGCGATATACTTGGATTTGATGCCATCAAAGGCGTCGGGTTTCATCGCGCTTCCATTGAGAAGCGCGGCACTGTCTTGGTTCTTGGCCATTGCGCCGGGATCGGATGGGGACGAGGGTGGAGTGGGAGAACGGCGAGAAGGTGGGTTCGAAGCTTTGGAATCTTCTACTGCTTCTTCCACTGGGTCTGGTGGGCCCTCTGGTGGTGCTTCGGATTCTCCGAGGGCGATTGAGCGGAGATGATCAGTGACGGATTCGAGAGTGTCTCGTCTGGTTCTGGGTTCTGAACCAGATGCTGTGGGTTGTGGTACCGCGATAGATTCTGAGGGTGCTCCTGTGGCAACTCTTGATAGTGGCTCTCCGCGTAGTCCTTCTCTACACCGAGGACAACGATTGCTATTATCCAGAAAATGCGGGCAGGGTTGTTGCGCGCAGTACCGTAAGTTGTCACCGCGTAAGTAGACGGATCTCCCTTCTAGCTCTCGATGTGTATGTCCTCTACAATAGCAGGAGGGCGTGGTCATAGGGTGTCGGGTCCGTAGAGCTGGTTGCAGCAAGCCCCGGGACTAATCGTGTCGTAACGACCAGATCGGGGGTAGAGTTCGCCAAAGATAGGAATTTTCCAAAAAAGAACCGAAACACTATTCTTAATACAGTTCTAGGAATAGTATAGCAGCCCAAAGAGCGATTGTGTCTCTTCGGTCCGACGCCCTGACAGGGATCGTCGATCTAACTGCTATCTCTTTTCCGACGCCCAGCCTCAGCCGGTTGCCACGTCGTACTCAGGAATATCTGCTTGCACTGCGCAAAGCGTTTAACACCACCTATGGTAGGGCGGTGTACGATTCTAATTGGACGGAGCTCTGTCCAGCTGCTTAAGGGCTGGTGATTACAGAGGTGGCTTCGGGGTGTGTGATGTGGTAAAAGACGCGCAAGTGCACGGAGAAAGGTTCCAGGGGTCCAGGTCTTGATGCGATAGAATTCGGTAGGGTTAGGAGCTAGGGTGAGAGTCGGATGTGCGTATAGAGTGGATCGTCGTGTGGAGATGTGTGATGGTTGGAGTGGGAGTGGCGAGGATCGTCGTAGGGCAGTTGGTGGAGACTCGAGCTAATGTCAGCAACTAACAATCCAACTGGACTGAGCTACAACAAAGCTGAGGAGACAGACGAGAGGAATGTAAGTGAGGAAAGACCAGCTCAAGTCTGGCTTGTTATTGAGCAGTACGAGCTCCTTATATACATGTCAGACTGAATATCTAGAATATCCTACGAATATACGGAGGTGTATAGAAAGTAAAAGAATACCATGGAATCCGGGAAAACCATCCAGAATATGTAATATTCATGACAGTTACTGAGAAGGGGCGCGAGCAGAGACGTGTATGGGCGGTCAGACTAACTATCATTGAGAGAGTCAAACGGCGAGCACGACGTACGGTAGACGGTGGCATATGAGCTGGTACAAATCGTTGGATAGCTGGCTTACATGGTTTGTCTCCAGAAAAACATTCTTCTCTCGGGGTAAGCTGTCTCTCGGTTTTCGACTTTCGCGATGTTCTTCGTGTGAATTACACGGTAGACGGAGGAAACATACGCTTGAGCTGAACATTAGCTACGGGTCATGTATGCATGTTGCATGTGACTGTTGCTGGCGATATCACTCAGGGGTTGGTGTACGGATATTGCTCACCGACAGGAAAGGTACGCGTGTACGCTTCCACTAATGGCCAGGCCGACTATGTGTGGCAAACTTTCTACTCGCACGCACCTGCCACCGTGACCAGACTTGAGGTCAAAGGGTGGGACGACAGAGGATATAGAGAGAGGCATCTACGGGCAGCGTTCATTGAGGCAGGAGTTGTGTTGGTCGTGGGAGGAACGAGCGTCTTCTCACGGCATCTTCGGGCGGCCTATCGACGTCACTCAAACGTGATCCGAGCACTGGGGGCTAGCGACGCCCGCCCGTCAGTCTTTGTTCTCTAGTCCGACATCAAACATGCCCCGACACAATTCAACACTAGCTGCTACCCGAGCCCGCACGCCACGTCGTTGCCATCATTGTGCACACGCAAAGCAGCGCCCTTGTTCTTTCCTCGCGGAGTGGGGCTTGGCCGACAGCGCGGACACCGGAGTTCCAATGCGCCCTCTCTTTTGCATGCTGCTTTGATGCTTGGCGTCTTTGCGTGCACTGACCCCGGAGACTCCTATATCTTATCCTTTGCAAAGTCCACCATGCTCAGCGCCGGGTGGCCCGTTCGTGGCGGACTGAGGGTTCGAGAAGGTGCGTAAAGTGTATCTTCCCACAACGAGGTGCTAATCATCTCCGTCTCTTTCCTTCAGACCCTCCGTAATCCTGTGGGATGCGACGTCAAAGTTCCCTTGGGAGCGTTCTTGTCTTGTGCATGGACTCACAGACAAGCACGTACCTCGTTTACGCGGCTTCCGACTTGATGATATTCTTGGCAGGACACTCTCCGACGAATCGGTCTGCTCAGGTACCGCAATGCATTGGAGAAGCACGTACAGTTGTTCCTGCCGCACTCGCGGTGTAGGATGGCTCTGCCCTGCGAGGTTCGACTTATTGTCTCTGTGAAGCAACGGCTCCCATCGAGGCTGTGATGATGGCTCGCATGCCGAATCTTCGTGTGTGTCGGCTCGAGATATCCAACCGCTTTCGGACCGCGTTTGTGCTGCATCCGTCGAGACCTCTGGTGCCTTCATATATCAAGCTCGTCTCCCAGGGCGTGACATCGGCTGGCACCGCCAACGTGTAAGTTTTGCACGTCCGTGGAGAAAAACGTTTCCTTTCGCACTTCAGCAACCGCCGAGCTGCTCCGATTATCCGCCGTGAGTCAGTCGGTTTTGCCCCCAATCTCGAAGCGAAGGACGGCGACTGAACGCGGGACTTTTTGGCTAACGGCAATACGCGTCCTAAGATGGATTTTTGCCCCGCGTTGATGTTCGCCGTGGAGAAGTAGTCGTACACAATTTTCATGGCGATTCGTATCGCCCACTCGAGTCTCCTGCTTCGCTGTGATGACGGATGCGTATGCCAGCGCCAGCTGTTATCCCCTGGCCGCGCCAGCGTAAAGGGTTATCCAGCCGCCCGCGAACCTAAGCCTCAGCAACGCATCCCAGGCTCAGGGCCTCCTGTTCAGTCGTTGATGAATTTCAATAGAAGAGCAAGCGAGATCGACACAGCCGCGCGGCTCATTGTCTCGACATGGAGTCTGATAGTGCGGTCGTTTGAAGACACCGAATTTTGATTCTTTTGACACACATCACTGCTCCACGGCTCCTGATAACACCGCTGGCAGATTTCATTGAGCTCCAGTCTGCTGTGACGTTCGGCGTACTGCCCGTCGATGCTTTCAGGCTATTGTCTTCGGTACAACTAGAATAGGCAGCTACTCGGAGGACTAGTCTAGTATGCCGAGCTCCTCACCACAATCCGGAGTCGCAGGCACTAGCGGAGGATAAAATTTGCGTCAAATGCTAAGATGGCTCTCCGGAATGATGTCTTCGCGCTGCAACTGAACAAATGGGTGAGTCTATGAGCGCCAAAAAAGAATATTTCCTAATGTAGTAGACAAGCTTAAGAAGATGCGGAAGGCCTGTACTTTTTATACAGAGCGCATGGTTCGCGGCGACTGGCGAGGGGTAGGCTCTAGTCCTTTAGTTGTCGCGGCACTTTGAGAGCTAGATATGAATGTGCGCTGAAAGGACAACGCTCCAGTTGACCAGAATGAAGAAGTTATACTAGCTGACTTTGGACTCACTATCCTTGCAGAGTCCAAGAGTAGACAATTATTATAGACTCGCCAGGGCAGCCCCAAGTGGCAAGCTCGCCCGCAACTTTCTGTGCGCCCCACGTACGCGGGTAACATCTATTCTTGGGCTTCGAGGTAACCCCGGCTGCTTGTCTTGAGATTACATATGTGCTCACAGGTACAATAAGCTATACTCGGGAGAAGGACCTTAGGTTAACATAATCGGCACTGACCCCTTGCGTGATGCTATATACAGGCAGCGGCATCCACTAAGGCCCAAATCGCTCACCAATAACACTCTGTGGGGAATCATGGTGCGTTGTTGCAATCTCGATCCAGGGAAGAGGGGAGATGCAGTAACGTTGTATCGGGACATACAGGCCATTGCTCCGTAGCTTTCGGTGCCTTTCAGAGCACCACGCGGTAATGCTGTCTATACCTAATTGTAACCGGAAATTTTAGGACTGCCTTCGAATCGTGGGCATGATGGACGCACTTGAAGTGGCAGTAGTGCGACCAAATGTAATGCGACTGAAGCTTAGGAGCACGACTATTAGCTTGGCACAACCAGCTGCAAGGCGGAACATGTGTATGTCATTTCTTCCAGGAGCAGCTTGCCAGAACTCGTCATGCAGCTTGATGTATCTCGACTCAGAGAACATCTCAGTGCGGGTGGGTACTACATGGCTCATGAATCGCGAGCAAATAGTTGTGCGAATACATTACATAATCGAACACAGCACCAAATATAGTACACATGTTACCTGATTCGGAGATTATATTAGCGCTTTATCCAACTAACTTCACTCTGCCACCGGCTTTGCAGGAACCGCGACAGCGCAGCTTACAAGCTCATTTGTCAGACAACTTGTCCACTGATCTTGAGCTCTCATAAGATTTTTGGCTATCCTTAATCTCTTTCCGGTCTGCTGGGGGGTTTGCATCGAAGAGGCCAGTGTGGTAGGCCGTAAACAACGGGTGTCGCAAGTAGTGAGCTGTCCTCGCTGCTAGGTTCTGCCGATCTCCGTAGAACTTCTGGCTGTAACTCTAGACACTGATTGATGCTACAGATCGACCATTCACGGGACGTGGAACCACGAGGCAGCGCTAGCGCAAAGGGCCTTCATTTCCGACTTACCAAAAATCACTGTCTGCTCACGTTTCTGCATGGCTCGTCTCACTACAAAGACCTTGTCAATCTTATAGGTGGTTTGTATGCTTCAACAGGTGCTGGTTGGTGGTGCCTTCCTCGCCGTGTTGGTTCTCAAGGAAGGCTATGAGCTCGTGCGCGTATACTGGCTCGATAGCCCAGATCAAACCTTCGCTGAGATACGCATCGTCCTCAAGGAGGTCGGAGAGGGACTCACACGTTTGGAACATTATATGAAGGCACAACTATTTGCTTCTGGGGCAATTTCTTGCAACGAGATCAGCTATCGCGGCGTGCATGAGCTGAAGCAGGAATGGCACGAGTATGTCCTAAACATCTCGCTCCTGGAGTCAAGCATACTAACGGCTACTTCACTACCTAGCTGCGAGCGTCTCTACTTTCGTTTGAAGCACGACTTGAGGAGATACTACCCTCGTAGATGGACACTAGTCATCTCGGGCGCGCAGCTGCTGACTGATATACGTGACCTACGCGGTCGAGTGTACACATTAGAGCAAGATTGGCTGGTTAGTGATATCTCATGGCTTTCCCCTCGCGTTAGAGTCTGACGGTCGTATCAGAGAACCTCTAGTGTCATTTTGTATGATAGCGACCCTGAGGGTGAATAATACCACCCTGGAATACCCTTTCGCAATGCAATGCACGAGTTCAACACAAGGCATCCTCAGTGTCGTTCGCAGCTGTGAGCACTTGTAGCCTGATAGACCACTGCACGCATCATTCTAGTCCGATCTGCCGCTCATACAGCACATGACCGTCCGGTCCTGTGTTGGAGTTGCACTCAACGCTCACTAAGGGCGAGCATGATGGCCAATTTGTTTTTCGGACACTTGCGATAGTCGCCCGTCCGTTTCTGCTGCACGCCGCCGTTTTGTCCCTCAGTCCTTGCTCTCCCTTTTCTCTCTCGCTTCGTGTCATGCGGATTGTGGTTGTGGACCTGACGTACAACCCATATAATCTCTCATAAAACTTTCGCTTCCGTGTGTATTAGAGCAAGATTAGATAGTGCAGGACTCGCTCGGCGAATATACAAATGAGTCTGATAAGGTAATGCTGATAGAGGACTTCTAGCATACCACTATACAACATTGACCCAAAAAAATGGGGAGACGTGTCAGCATGTACATCATAGACATCGTCCAGTCAACGTGGTTTGATACAAGCGACGAGACGTTGATACAGTGGCGATCATAAGTCGTATTCACCGAGTTAGTTCCTTACTTCCGGCTGGGCGTCCGCTGGCTGAGCGAAGCGACACTCGATACAACCCGTTTAGACGAGGGGCGCCCGGACGGGTCAGCATGCCAGCACTTCTGGAGCAGGCCCCAGAGCTCATCGGGGATGTGCTTCGGGTGCAAGGGCCTCTTCGGGTTCTTTGCCCTGGTAATTTCTTCGGCGAACCTCATGAGGCCGACGCCGTTCGTCGCGTTCGCCCGGTCGGGGTACGGAGACGGCTGGCCCGAGTACAACTGGGAAGCGGTGAGGCATAGGCAGGGATAGATACAGCAAACCGCACACCTCGATGCACACATGTGAAAACGAGTACACGTCGCTTGCGGGTGTTATCCTTGTCGAGTCACTCCCTTCAGCAAGCATAATTTCTGGCGCCTGCCACTGGAAGTTGCCAGTGCGGAGTGACTCGTAGTTGCGGCTATGTCCGTGAATGAATGTCGCCAGGCCGAAGTCTCCAATCTGCGCATTCTCTTCTCCGTCCACAAGAATATTGACCTACAATAGAGCATGTTAAAAGCTGATCAACTCATTCCAGGGTTCCAACAACTTACACCTCTGAGGTCTCCGTGGACTACCCCTTCTGCATGCAAATACGCCATGCCGTTCGCGATATGGTTGATCTAGACACGCCTTAATGTTCCATCACTACGGCCATGCTGCATAGCGCTTACCCATCGGTTGAGGAGCCATGTAGGAGCGCCCACATGCCGAGAGCTCACAACCTCTAAGTAGTCGTGAACGTTCCCATTGGCGACCCAAGGCGTAATAATGCAGAAGGAATCAAGATCACGCGACACCCCAAGGATCCTGAGCACATTGCGATGCTGCAGCTGGCGACAAGTGAGCACCTCAAGGTACATTTGCTGAGGCGACTTGAGCACACGTTGAACGGTCGGCACGTTAGAGTACGCACCTTCTTACGCTGCTGTATATTGTAGGTATTCCCGAGAATGCGGAGGGCCTTGAGCGCAACAAGCTTTTTCTCGCCCTTCTCCTCGACGAAGCCCCGATAGACCTCGGCAAAACTACCACCAGCGACGGGCTCAGGCGTAGAGCCTGACGGTGCGTACTTGCTAACGTGCGAAAGCAGGAACGACTCCGGCAGGCGCCCGGACTTTTGCGCGAGGTGCGTCATCAAGCGCCTTAGTGCGTCTCGTCCCGCGAGATCGCTTTTGCGGAAGTCCTGCCAGCAGCTGTAAATACCGGTGGAACACGATGCGGCCGCTACTCACACGTTCCATGAACTCGAATGCTATCTGCACGGAAGGGCCAAGCACACACTCGAAGATGCTCGTATACAGTCCTCGAGACACTTGATGTTCTTCTTCCCGTCGAGCAGCCTCATAGAGCACAGAGACAGTCTCCCGCTGTTTGGCGGGTAAACTTGGAAGTTTCTGTTGCTCCAGGATGCAGATCATGCGGAAGCTGTTGTGAAGCATACGCAGGTGCAGCATCTCAAATTCGGCGATGGCCTGACTAAACTCGTACTGATCGTCTTCGTGGGCAGAATCCGATGTCATGAACTGCCATGTTTTCCAAGTGTTCTCTGTAACGACGAGCGGGTGAGTGCAAAATACATGCGAGAACGGCGCGAACTGACGATGATAAGCATCAACGAAACCGTACGCTAGCCATGCGCTGCGGGCCACGCATACGACGAGATCCTCAACGAGCTCAGCGGCCTTCTCGAGCGCTTGTGTGCGCCCCTTGTCCCGCGCATTTACTAGATGCCTGACTGCGAGATCCACATGCGAGTGTATCTGGGTGACTGTGTCTTGAACCGCATTGTCTTGAGCGACCATGATGGCGTTGATGATATTGGCCTTGGGCTTTGGCCCCTTCGGTGAATGCGCCTCGACAAGGACAGGCAGCGTCTTATGGAGGGCGACCCAGATCGCCTGGAGGGCTACGAGGCTAATCAACTAAGGGACAATAAGTGACATGAGAAAAGTATATATGTAGCGCGACTCACGTAAGTGTCATAGCACTTTTTGCTGAGTGACGATTCAAGACGAGTGATGGTCTGCAGAATATTCCGCAAGCTCTCAAGCACGGGTATCTTCGTCGCCTTCCATATGCCGAGGTCGTCCACTGAACGAGGAAAGGTTTCTAGTGCAAGCCTGATGGTGACAGTTGGCCCGCTCTCCCCATCCTCCCTCTGCAAGGCCATAGAATGACCTACGATGTCGGTCAGTATGCCACATCCTACGGCGAGATGACGAAAGATCTACTCACCAAATATCGCATCGAACAAACGAGCCTTCACGATCCTGCACGGAATGGTAGAACGACGTATGAGACCGTCGGAGTAGAGGATAACGGCTATGGACACAGTCTGAGTCCCCGGGGAGACCATTCTGTGTGCCCCGAGACGGTCAGCGCTTTTTCCACGTAGGACATCGTTCGCGACGTACAGCGGCACCGTCGGCTTCCCGCCCGAGACCCAGGAGGCCGTGCAGTTATTGCGGCTCTGATGAAACTTCGTCGCGGGTGCTTCGAACACTTTCGTGTTGCCGAACGACAGTACCGCCGATGCCGCAGTAATGTCCGATGCTAGACTATGGACATAGAAGTCTGTCCCATTGCCGTATGAGATGGATGAAAGGTGTCTCCCAGTCACTCTGACGCACCGAAGATATTAAGCTGGATTTGGGGCAGAGGCTCCAGGCCATTAGCAGTTGAGGGGGGCCTTGATACTGGAGGTTAGCTTGCGACGGAGGACAGCGAGGGCCAGTGGCTCACATATCGAAGGCTTTCCTAGAATAGGTCCAACGCAAGATATCTGGACACGGTATATAGTGTGATACTTGGCGGCCTGCTCAGCAGGCTCTCAGAAGGGGGCTGTAGGTCCCACAGCTCGTGGGCAGACTCATATCCTCCTCTCGCCCCGGGAAAAGCTCGCGGCTCCTGAATCCGTGCCGTCACCCACTGACCATCAGACGCACAACGAAACCACCGCATCGCTCTTCTGTCTCCGTATGAGGAAGTCTTTGAAGTCCGCGTAAGAATCGTTATCGTGGGCGTGTTACACAAGGTCGCAAATGATGCGCGTCCCCGGCTGCCGAGCTCAAGTGACGTTGCCGTCGCCGTGCCTGTCATGCGAAGACAGTGCAAAGGGTGAAGAACAAGAAGACCTTGACAAAAAGGTATTGTATCGATGGCGGTAGGCATCCTAGTCAGAGCCGAGGGGAGGAAGTTCAAAGCGCTTTTGGGGTGGGGACCCCGGTCACCCCTTTTCGGTCGAGCTCGAGCTCGAATCTGAGTAAGTCCCTCGCAGATTAGATTGCTCCGTGAACATGGTCGTTATGTACATCAACTGTTCAGGAACCCCAGAGATACCACTAAATAGTGGCCTTTGATGCCGTCGCGACCGGGAGTGACTGAGTGCAGAAAAATAGTACAGCACAAGACTACTACACGACGGCAACAGAGGCAAACGAGTTAGTTCCATTAGCCTCAAAACTCCGGTATTCCCGTCTCGAACGCAATTCTCCACCGTTCCTCTAGGATGCGGTCTGGATTGGATTCAAAGCTCAATTAGTGCCCACGAGCAGGAGAGGTGGTTATACGCACCCCGACGCTCTTGGAACCTCTTCTTGGCATCGGGAGTTGCCAATACTCTCTGTGAGGTTTTCTAACGCACGCATGAGCTATTGTCATGAGGTGAATACGGACACGGGCTCACCAGGAAGTTTGCATTGAGCGTCCGCACGCGAGTGGAGAGATTCATAATCTCGGTATACAGCTCGGAACCTCTTTTAGAGAGCATTTTCCACGTGCTGTAGCCCAAGTACTCTGACTTGAACTCGCGATAATCGTACTCGCAGCTATCAGTCGCAAAAAGGCAGCAATTGAGTAATAGTTGAATGGCGGGCAGTAGACCTTACCTATCGAGCTCCAGCTTCAGGTTCGTCAGATCGACCTCCTTGTTCGTCTTAGACACGGATAGATAGATAGCACTTTCGCGCTGCTTGGACTCTAGTTCTCCCAAGCCAGACTTGACCTCATCCAACCGGTTCCGCATATCCTTCAGGGCTTCATCCGGGTCATTCATACGGAGGCGAATATAGCCAATACCGGTTTCAACGACTACTCCAGCGGCGTATGAAAGCGCAGAGACAGCGGGTGCGACGATAGCAACCTCAGCCAACGACATTGTAGAATGAGCGTACTACAGCATGAGATCTGTCAGCTGGTCGTTTGAGGAGCGAGCCGCAAGAGACCTACATGCTACAAAGTTCCGGACTTCGTTGCAGTGAGAGGAAGGCGCAGCCTTCGTGTAACGATTAGAGAAAGAAAGGTAAGGAATGACGGAACAATGTACTGCAAGTATATGAACCTTCAGGTGGTCTCCTCGTGGCAGTAGCCGCTCTCACTCGCGGCCAGCCAGGCATGTTTTAGGAAGACGACAGCCGATAGACGGGAACTACTGGCCTTATCGGGAACAAGGGACAGCGGTGTATGTCACACAACAATAAAACGTTTGCGGCTGTCATGGCAGGAATGAAAAAGGTCCGCGACGCTTTGCAATGCTGAACCAAGCGCTTGGTGACTTGTGGGAAACTGTGTGTATATTATGTAATCAGCTGCTCATCCGCGACCTCATCATCTATCCGTACCCTCCACCCTCTGCTACCCAACCCTTCCAGCATGACCGACGCATCTGCGCACCAACGAGAGCTGCGACGTCTGCAGGAACAGACCGCAGAAATTCATGCCCAGCTGACGACCTCCGAAAGAGAGTGGGCGCGCAAGCAGCCCTTCTTGGAGTCGCGTGGGTATTTGCTCCGTTCGAGGTATCGTCCAGGCTGGATCCCCTCCTGGCGGAAGCCCAACTTTGTCGGCCGCAAGAATCGATGCGAGGACTGGGATGCTTCACCTGTCAGTTCCCTGTGTGTTGTCTTCCACATCGACTGACAACGCCCCGACAGCTTGCTCCACTGATTGATGCGACGCGTCTGAGCGATGGCCAGTTGGTGTACGTGAAACGAGTCACCACGGGTGACGAAGAGTCGCGGATTGTATCCATGTTTTCCGCTCCTCCTCTTTCGTCGGATCCGCGAAACCATTGTGTTCCTGTCCTCGACCTGTTCCAAGATGACGAAGATCCGACCGTGTCCTACCTTGTCATGCCGTTCTTGCGACTTATGGACGATCCACCATTTCAAGTCATCGATAACATTGTTGATTTTGTTGACCAAATACTAGAGGTATGGTATGTCTCCAGTCTCGTTGTCGTTCAGCAAACCAAACATTCCGCAGGGTCTCGTCTTCATACATGAACACGGCGTCGCACATAGGTATCATCCCCTCGAATCTACACTTGAAAGTGTACTAACAGAACATAAAGAGACTGTGCCCTCAACAATCTCATGATGGATGCGCGTCCACTGTTTCCTCGTGGATTCCATCCCCTCCAGTTGCTATCGCTTCCAGACCTGAGCGACCGCGCCCCTATGCGTTCTCGCACTGAGGCTGCGGTCAAATACTACTACATCGATTTTGGAATCTCCGTGCACATCCCCCCAAATGTCCATCCCAAGCTCATCGTAGGCGAACTCGGTCGCGACCAAGAAGTTCCGGAACTCTCGTCCAATGTACCGTACGATCCATTCAAAGTCGACATCTTCATCATCGGCAACGTCCTCTTCACGGAGTTCTACGATGTATGGTGCGCTTCCCTACAGTGGCGGGTGCGGTTTCTGATGCCAGACTTGCCCAGAAATACTCCAACGTCGGCTTCCTCAGGCCATTGATCCTGTCTATGACTGAACTCGACCCTCGCCGGAGGCCAGACGCTCCTGAGGCTCTCCGCCAGTGGCTCGAGGTCCGGAGACGCATCCCGTCTCTGCAGCGCATTGCCCGTCTGCGGGACAGGAAGGAGGTCTGGGCACAGAGTGCCCTGCTAGATGTATTCTCATTTGTCAAGATTTGCGTCATGATCTCGCGTCGTTGCTGGGAGCGTCTGAAGATGATGTTGAATGCCTTGCGTTGGCTCGTCTGCTCTAATTAGTGTCTTGCTTCTCTTTTTGCTTCATTTTTGGAGTATCTGTGTGTACTTATTGGCTATTGCTGCATGCTATACTGCCACGAGTTTAGTTTCCATATGAACCCATATTCGGGGGAAATCGTGATTTTACACACACCGCGCATGTATGTAAGTGTCGTCGTAGCGAGTACTCAAAGCATTAGCCGTGCGGAAGCATCGAACGCACGCAGGATCTCGTGGCGACCGTCCGGATGCTAGTCTAGAAAGATCGTGAGCGCTGATTATGTAATACCACCACAGGTCCAAATAACGGCCAAACAAGGTACACCTCCGCTTTGCGCCAGACGCGGCCAAAGCGCCGTGTCGTTCTCGTTTCGCGCTTCACCCTCTCATGCATCCGCCACGCCCGCGGAAAATGGCGTGCTACCAGCCTTCACATATCCGTGATAACCTGCAACCGCTCTAGACGGGATGATTATTTGACACTAAGTGCTGCGGGGTCTCCGGGCATGGCGACACAGAAAGATTCGTCCACTCGCCCGCTTCCCAAGCGCCGAGCAGACGCCTGAGTAAGAAGTTAGGATTTCTAGGCTCAGTGACTATCGGATTAGACTCGCCAGCCAGTCCGCTTGGCAAGCTCCGTGGTTTCCCACGCGCGTCCTGTTTTCCTGTTCTGGACAGGAAGGACACGCTTGGCAAAAGTGAGAGAGGCCCAAAAGACCGGACCGGATGGGGACGAGCCTACTATCGGATAACCCCTAAACGTGCTAGGTCTACGTTGGTGGAAGTTTAGACTAGATAAGATGAGGCCAACTTGAAGCAAAGCGCAATGAAACCCACCTTACATTGTTTGCACAGCTATTGATTTGATTATGAAGCTTCTGTATGAAAAGAGGCTTTTCTTAGCTATCTTTCTGATATGCTAGATGATGGGCTAAGGCAAAGAGTATGAAAGTTCTCATGACCGCTGGAGGCTGTCCTGCCATCGAAGACGATGCAAATGGCGCTCCTCCAAGTACTCGCCTCCAGCATGTCAGCTTCCAGAACCAGATTAGCATCAAACTCGCCATCCTCCTGGCATCCTGGCCTGCTGCACCACCTGAACCCGTATTGCACTCTCACGGGGCTAATTGGTAAATATTTTTAGCTGACAGAGGCACGAAAATGACCGTGAGAAAAGAAGCTAAAAAGCCTGTACACTTTCCGGCGAAGATATATGAAAGGTAAAATTTGAAAATAAGAGGAAAACAAAGTCGCCTTTTTTAGTCAATCTTGTTGTAAAAAGTTGGTCTGCTTGCAGCAAAAAGAGGTGCAAATACCGCTGGGCTATCCATATGTAGAGTAATACACATGGAGAAAGAGACGATGATGATTTTGCCCTAAGGATATTTCGACTCTCCTAATACCTCAAAAGGTGTAAAAGCAGTGTATTTTTTTGTACCACTAAAACAATAACATCCCCATAGGGAAATAGCTTATGTGTATTTATGAAACAAATTGAATGTGCTTTTGTATCTCTATCCGCGCAAAAGAGTATAAAATTAGCCCCGTGTCTCCACCAAGACTAGCTTACAACCTCCAGGCCCGGCGCCTTTAGCTACATCATCCGCTATTTATCATCTAATGATTTACGCTAACCTTCATCGATATAAAAGGATTGCGTACTTTGCACAGTAATGTAGCGCATTTTGTACGAAGGAGACGGGGATAGTATCAGGATGATTTGTGAAAGGCAGCGGAAGGCGCAAAGCGAGTTGAACGAACACCAGGTGCTTGGCGTTTTCCCAGGGTCCGACGCTTTGGGCGTCTTGATGGAATCAGGGGAAATGCCGAGATGCCACGACGGCCAGCTGGCTTGAAGCTTGGAGAGCAGCGGCCCTCTCTCTGTTGTGTTCCACGGTCACAACGCCAGCTGCGCTTTACCCACGTCCTCCAAAAGCCCTCTAGATAGTCGCTTGGGGTTTCGAAACTTGGATTTTTGGATGTGGCCTCCGCGATACTGCAGCGACAGGGCTTCGTTGTTAATGGTCACCTTCACGGACAGTCCACTCGGCAGACGGCGACGCTGTCATCGCTTATTGTAGGCCCCGGGCGTCCTACAGCTCTGCAATTGTATGCGCGTCGCCTTAGCGGCAATGGGCCCCTTCTGCGACTCGTGTCTGCGCTGTAGTTGCTGTATGCAGGTAGGCATCCTTCGTACATCGTACCTCGGGACTAATGTGGATTATTCACATGGTGTCCATGTGGGGATATGACGATGTAAATGAAGACAACTTATAACATTCAGCCCGCGACTCATGGTTTGAGGGAGGAATTCGATGGGTTCAAGTCTGAGGTCGATGATTATCCCAATTTCTGCGAGTATAATCCGTGCTGGATAACGGTGGCCAACAGTTGACCTCTGCCGTCATCAGGTGACATGGCATTTTTTTGGGATGCAGTGCGAGACTGCAGATGACATCAATTCATTCAAACACTCCGCGAATGTTTCTATCTTCCGCTTTTTCCCTCGGCCGCTCCGCACAGTGAGCTGCTTCTGAACCACACTCATGTGTTGCAGATAGGGTGGAGTCACCCGGGAATGAATTGTCTGCGGGATATGTCTTCCGAGGCGCCATCGGCATGGCACCCTGCATTGGAGGACCCCTTGTCTCGCTCGCATTCAAGGCTGTCGATCGATAAGAGCCTTGTGCATCTTTACTTCAGGTTGTGGACACCTGATACGCGAGTATCACACGCATCGCCTTGCTTGTTGCCGTGGCCGGCTGCTTCTTCTCTCCACTAAGGCATCGCGGGTCAACAAGGTGTTAGAAACAATCAGAAGTCATGCTTCTCGCATAGCCCTGCGCCCTCTCACAAGCTCCTCTGGACAATTGAGGTTGGTCCAGACTGCTCACGTCACGTCTTGCAATTGCTGAAGGCGCGTGGCGATGCGTAGGAGCCATCGATCGTGCGTCCAAGCGAGATGTCAAGCAAGAACGGGCCGCTTTTTGTCCACGGCAAGCCATCTCAGTCGATTTATATGGCCAACAGAGTTCAGCTTTGTTCTCGTCGAAGGGCTGTACCAAGAGACAATACACCTGTGCTCTACTACCTGGAGCCGCACACCCCGTTTCCAGGGCGGCCTCCGTGCTGTCGCATAGTCTGCGAACAAACAAGCAAGCATACGACGTTCACTGCCCTCGTATACCCCGATTCATACGTTATTGGCTCTGCCGTACTCCGCGCAACCTATTGTCCTCCCTCAACGGTCTTAACATTACGTACGTGAACGCTCTACGGCCATCCGAACATGTATGATGTGCAGTTTTCAGAGCGCATGTCTCATCTGCCTCGCTTCCCGCCCTAGACGCGGTACACTATACCGTCACCCCGAGGACCCCTTGTCTCGTTCTGAGCATATGCGACAGATTGCTCCCAGGCATGGTTGCGGCAACCCCCTTGGGGTAGTGAGACACGTGTTCCCTGATTTCGCTGGGGCCCGTTGCGCAGGACAGTGCGTCCCTGCGCTCCCGCTCCTTCCGCGTGCGAGTCGCCTGGAAATGCCGTGCGCACCTCCCGATCGTGAGTGACGCTCGTAGCGAGTACCACCGTTTCTGTGGAAGTCATAGGTGGACCCCAGTCTCTGCAATATTATGGAAGTATCTCATTGGTTATCCAGTAACGAATAACAAGCGGAAATTCATAAGTGACGTGTCAAATACAACGAGGCACGTTTCTGCTGCCCTCGTGCCAAGCGGCAGTGAGTAGAAGCTCTTGGGCGGCGGCCTCCGTGACAAGATTCACAAAATGAACAAGTATCCCTTTCCATGATATTCTGACGTTGATCAAGTACGGAGATGACATCGTACTCCAGCCTGTGTCGCCAGAGCATGGAAAACATCAGCAAAACCGCCAGCTCTTGGCGGCCGTCTTGGGCTTGAGGGGCCGTCTTGGGCTTGACACGGGTGTCTTGAAGCGTCTTGAGCTTAGCAGGCTGTCTTGGGAACTACCTTGGGCTGGAGTATGAGATAGTATGATATGCACTGAGCATTGGAGGTTATATATTGATTGGCCTGAAGTACTCTGTCGTATCCCTGCACACAGTATGTGAGGCAATGTGCTCGGAGTCTCGTCAATGCGTCTGCGAGCCGCGGGGACCCTTAAGCGCCAACTCCCTTCGGGCACTTAGAGTTGTCGGAAGCTCCCGGAGATGTTGACTTGTTGATTTGCCACGACTTCCCTTCTCCCTTCCAACAGTCACGTCCCTCTTCCGCGGTTGCACTCCACCATCGCTAACATAACATGGATCAGAAAGGATAAAGGGTGGTGTCGAGACACTTACAGGGCACAGACGCAAAGGGGAAAGGCCTGGACACAGGACGGGA